AAAAAAAAAAAAAAAAAAAAAAGTATTCCCCAGCCTTTTTCATATGTCTGGAGTAGGATGGGAAATTTCAACTTGGTTTCATTCTGCCACCTTATCTCTATTCCAAATGCCTTGCTCAATAAATCGTTGTTGACCGTCTCTATTTTTTCCCCTCTCTTGTCCTCTCCTCTGTCATCCTCCAACTGCCCCTGCCTCCCAAGCAGTCCATAAGGGACCTTGGTTTCAGAAGAGCTCTTGGCTGGATTAAGGGAGGCAGATTCTCACTGAGGCAGGGCTGTGGAGCTGGGCCCAAAGCATGTTCCCTCCTGGGGACTCTGGCTCCGCCCTGAGCTCTGTTTGGGGCAGAAGGTCCCTTGGGGTGGCTGGGTGGGGCAGGGACAAGGTTCAGAGGAAGGCTCGAGGCTACCAGCTGCCCTCCCTTGCAGCAGCCAGACAGCACTTGGGATCCTGAGAAGGGCTCCTGTCCCCGGTCCCTTTGTCTGGGAGGTAACAAAGGGGCTGTTGTAGACGATCCTGGCCCTGGGCTCCACGCAGATGGCCCTGCCCCCACAGACCCCTGTCGCAGTCCTAGGGGCCCTGATGTGGCATGGGTTTGGGACAGATGGAGTCAGAAGGGCCCATTCTGTGATGCCCGTGGATGGCCAGGCACGGCCCCTTTCCCATCTACACCCCCTCTCTGCTGTCTTTCTGCTTTGTGTCGGCAGCACGTGAGTGAGCGTTGGGCGTGAATGCGAGTGTGTGTGTATGGGACAGGCTGGGGTTCCCAGAGAGCTCCCCTCAGACTCCAGTAGCCACACCTGTTAGAGGAGCCACAGAATCACCAACTGGAAGCTTTCCATTCGTCCCCTGAATATCCGCTGAGTGCTTGCCACGTGCTTGGCGCCGTGCTAGCCGGGAATGCGGTCGTTAAATGTATAAACACGCAAGTAAATACGAAATTGTAATCGTTCCAAATGCTCTGAAGTAAAAGGACAGGGGTGTAGGAAAGAATATGGTGCGAGGGGCTTCATTTAGGTGAAGAGTCAGGGAAACGCTCGCTGAAGAGGTGGCTTCCAAGGCAAGTTCCAAAGGAGGCAGGGAAGAACATTCCAGGAGGGGAACAGCATGCACGAAGGCCCTGAGGGGCAGCCACCATGGAGCACTCTAGATGCTCCAGGGTGGGGGTGTGGGAAGGAGAGAGCCAGGGAGCGGGGACTGGGAAGCCAGCAAGGCCTTCAGAGATTGGGAGGCAGAGAGGGCCAGGAGTCCAGACTTTCTCCTCAAGTGCAAGATGAAGGAGTTGAAGAGTTTAAGCAGGGAAAGACGTGATCAGGTAACATAAAGCTCACTGTGGCTGGCAGATCCAGAAAGGACTGGCTGGCTGTGGCAGGCCTGGGGATCTAGGGATGAGGGAAGCATAGCCCAGAGCTCCCCGGGGAAGGAGAGGACAGAAGCATAAACCCACACTCACCCTCTAGAGGACAGGTAACTGTGAGTGTGTGCTCTGCGGGGGAACCCAGGGAGGCTTCCTGGAGGGGGTGGCATTTGCCCTGGGCCTGAGGGATGGCAGGCAAGGTGGAAGCCAGCATCCCAGGCCTAAGGAATAGTTTGGGCAAAGGGTTGGCAGTGAAGGTGAGAGGGTTGGGCGTGACGCGCCAGAGGAGGAGAAGTCACTCTCCCAGTTCATGAGGCCCCTTGGTGGTTGAGTCAGCGCTGGGACCCTGTCTCTGACGGAAGGGAGCGCTCCGGTGCCCCACGGAGGCCTGGCACCAAGAAATCCTGTCAAGGAAGTTCTCAAAGCCCCAGAGTCAGTGGATTCCTGCGAACGCAGCATCCAAGGGTGGGCACTTCCCCAGTTGCAGTGAAGCTATGGGGTGTCGCGGAAGGGGAAGCGTGGGCCCCAGGCCCGACCTAGAGAGCCTAGAGGCGGAGCCTCTTCTAAGTGACAGAAGCAGGGGCGAGGCCTCCCCAGGGCCGTCTCCTGGGACTGCCTGGGACCACAGCAGAGACGCAGGGTGGCTAGAGGCAGAGAGAGGTGAACGCGGCCTGGGCCTGCCTGGGTGAGAGACCCTTGCCACTCACGCCCCGGGAACACTGGCGGCCATGGCCGTGGCCCAGCAGCTGCGGGCTGAGAGGTGAGTGCAGGGGCGGAGCCCTCCCCGGGCTTCCTCGCTGTTCCTCGCAGGCCTTGGGGGACAGAGGCCGACCCTCCTGCAGCCCTTTATTACCAAGGTCAAAAGTTACGAGGCTGGAACTGAGTCAGAACCCAAGTGCTCGGCCACGCAGATTCTTAGAAGTGTTTTTCAAGGAACCTTCCAGTTTTTGCTCACTTCCCTCAGGCGCAGATGAAGAGGCCGAGGCCCGGAGAGGGGAAGTGACTTTCCCAGGGTCACACAGGAGTGTCGCATCTGGACAGGATCAGGTGTCCTGGGGCCAGGGCCGGGCTCACCGCTTTGCATGGCTTTTCATCTTCTGTTCAAACAGAATCACAGAATCTGGCTTCTTCCTCTTTACCCAGGGCCTGGCTCAAATGCCAGAAACCTTCTCTGACAGCCCCCTCGTTGCTCTCGGACCGCCGGCCTGGTTTCCTTTTTCCGCACAGTCCTTAAACTGCTTGCAGGACATTCTACACTCACTCCTTTGCTTCTGTCTCCCTGGCACCCCCATTAGAAGCAGGCTCCGTGACAGTATTTGTCCCCTGGTCACTGCCGTATCCCCAGCATGTACCACCTTTGAGCTGGAGAATGTCCCGGGATCCTTCGGGTCCAGTTGTTGTCATTGTACAGATGAGAAAAGATGAGGACCAAGGAGGATAAAGTACTTACTCAGGGTCACATGGAGCCCCGCCTCGTCAGGGCTTAGCTTCATCTCTCAGCAAGCCTGTGCTCTGAGCTGTGGGGGACCCGAGGACACAGGGCGTGGCTCCTGCCCTCCATGGGAGCAGCAGGTGACATCAGAAAAAAAGTACGCTGGGTGGCGGTGATGGGGCGGGCTTCTTTGGGGTCAAAGCGGGCAGCAAAGGGTCCACGGCGGCGTCTGGGGTTAGAGGTGGAATTTCCAAAGGCTGAAGGTCAGAAGAAAGCTTGTCTGTGTGTGCGCTGATGGAGGGGTCGCAGAAGCAAGGGCTTGGAGGGAGGTGCAAGGGCTGGGTTTTCCCACCGGATTCCAGACTCTTCCTCCACGGCTCTCACTGGAGAGGAAGCTGAACACACAGGAAGTGGCTGCAGCGTGAAGCTCGTGGCACTTCCTGTTTCTTGGGGTACGTGTGTCAGAAGACAGGACACCCCCCAAAGAGCTGGTCCCCCCAGACTGTGCTCCCTTCCTCCCATCCTCTGTTTCTGTCCCCAGAGGACGAAGGGGCGCCCGCCTCCCTCCCTTCTCAGGGCCATGGAGCCAGGTCCTGGGCCTCCCTGCCCCTCGGATGCCCTGGACGTGCTGTGCCTGAGGCCAGAGCAGAGGACACAAAGCGAAAGCAAGGGTACAGCCGGGCTTTCTAAGACTTGAGACATCCAAAGTTGGAGAGGACTGCCTTGGGGTAGTGAGATGGGTCCCAACAAACATGTTTTAACCACTTCCTGAGTGCGGGAGCCACAAAACCCGAGCTAGCTGCCCCCTGAAGGTCTGTCCAGGCCTCGGCCCCCTCCCATCCGGGATCCAAAGTGGACTTTTCGCGAACGACACGAGTGCGTATGAACCCAGAGCATCCCCCGGCCCCAGAAGGCCCTGGGTTGACTTCAGCTCTGAGGGGTCCCGGCTGAGGTCTCCAGGAGAGCAGGTTTTCTAGGGTGACTCCCAGTCAGGATCGCTGCTCCCCCCCCCCAACTCTGCCCTGGTGCACAGCTTCCTGGCTCAGCCCCCCCGCACACAGCAGGGTC